TAAGATGGTGCAACCAAGCCTTAGTCAAGTATGATTGGCTCGCACATTAAAAGTATAGGTAAGTAATAGTTTGAGTATTACAGCATTTACAGACAGATATTTTCTTATCTGGAACTTTTCACAAGTTAAACATCAGAACACAGCAGATGCGTCGATGTTTTTTTTTTACTTTAAGTGTTGATTAATGATGTCTCAGACCTTAGCCAGTATTCCATAAAGTGAAGGTGATGAATGGGATGGATGCTTAGGACAGAATTTGCCTGAACATTTGTAGTTTTTTCAGTGCTTTTCAGTGACTGGTTTTACCACATTAATGGTAAACAATATCTTCGTATACTACTGGCCTTTTCTACACTACGCCATAACGAATCTTGGTCATAACTCAGGGGCGGGTTTCCATAAATCATTTGGTCGAATTGCTAATGACATTTAGGAACAAAAAGTGACACGCCCTCGGAAAATATGCATTGGACAGGTTAAATATTTGCGTATATTTTTGTAATATTAACATAAACAACGAGTAGGGAGACAAAGGAAACAATGACTTCATGTTTACCTCTCACATGATAATGAATAACTGAATTATCTGATTCAGATTTGGTTTTAGATGTTACTGCCATTATCAAAAACTTATGTTACAATCCAGGTAAATTATAAACAAGTACTACTGCAAATATTAGTTCTAGCTATAGTATTATTTCTTGCTTAATAAAATCAAAGGAATGCCTTCCTTTTTCCTAGATTCAGCAGGTGAAGTCCATAAAACTCTTTTCCAATTTAGTTACAATGATACGAGTAAAGTGCGGGTTTATGTCTAATGTATCCACATTATTGTAACCAGATTCCAATATAGTAAATGCGTACTTACTTACCTACATTAATAAAATCCATCGTCTCTATGACCTAATCCAAAATTATCAAAATGTGTCTATGTGCACTTAACCTAAAATGGCTGCCATTAAAAAAACGGCAAAAACACTGAATAGCACCTATATAAAGTCGGATGCACACTAATGAAANCTCTTAGTCTATATGTTACAATCCAGGTAAATTATAAACAAGTAGCTACTGCAAATAATAGTTCTAGCTATAGTATTATTTCTTGCTTAATAAAATCAAAGGAATGCCTTCCTTTTTCCTAGCTTCAGCAGGTGAAGTCCATAAAATAGACACTCTTTTCCAATTGAGTTACAATGATACGAGTAAAGTGCGGGGTTCTAATGTATCCACATTATTGTAACCGGATTCCAATATAGTAAATGCGTATTTACTTACCTAAATTAATAAAATCCATCGTCTCTATGACCTAGTCCAAAATTGACAAAATGTGTCTACGTGCATATAACCTGAAAATAAATCTCTGTAGCTGTGCCTTATACAAATAAATAAATAAATAAATAAATAAATGGCTGCCATTAAAAAAACTAACGGCAAAAACACTGAATAGCACCTACATAAAGTCGGATGCACACTAATGAAAGCTGTCGTTCCCCTCAGCACTAAGGACAGAGCTACGTAATTAAATCCAATATTTCTAGCGAAATACTTGAAAACTGGAATAGAACTCGCGTAAAGTGAAATGACTGCTTTGACAGAAAATAGATGTGACAGAGAGGGTAACGGGAAAGTGGGTTACAGAACTAGAGTTTCTGAGATCTATCGGTGGAACCGGTGGTTTGAGTGTTTCCATTTATTTTGTTCCGTACCCAAAGGGTGCCAATATTATATTATACTCTTATAAGGAACCCTTCATGTGCCACTTTGAACTTCGTTGTTTCAGCCAGATGACGCGTCCACGGCTGGACAAAGGCTCTAACAAGGGTTTCCACTACGACGGAATTACATACTAGTGGCCCGTCCCGGTTTCGCACAGGTAGATATAGTATAAAATTAACACACTTTTAGGCATAATTTTCATGCTTAGGACACTCCATCAAGACTGCTTTTGATAAAAGCACATAAATGCTCGTAGATTTTGCCACTGACACTATTATAGACCATGAATAAGACAATCTCTTTGTCCGCAAAAGTTTAGTTAATGAAATTCAATACGTGATGAGGACAATATTCGACGTTATTAAAGTCCCTCGTCGGCAAAGTAATTCTTTTCTTCGTATACTTACCTACTTTNCTTTCTTAATTTCGTTTAACTTGTACTAATAGAATAGTCTTTTTAAAATGAAATACTAATGTACTTACGTTCTTTTTCAGCGTAATATGAAATTAATACCTAATAACTTTTTTTATTACCCGACTGCGTGACGCAAGGAATGCTTATGTATTTTTCAGACTTTGCATCTTTTTTTTTCCTTTTGCTAAACACTCGTACTTACTGTGTTATTATGACGTGAGGCTAAAACAAACTACGTTTTGATCTAGTGCCAAAATTCAGCATTCAAGAGATCATTAAGGCCTTGATTAAAAACGTGGCTTTCACTCGGCGACCCGACACTTGAACTTTGCTAATGAACACGTCATTGGATGGGAGAAAATATGCATTAAGGCTCTTTCAGTTAGCATTTTTCGGGCGTATCGTATGAACTACATACATCCTAGTCTACTAATATTCGTTCGTTTGCCAAATGACGTGTACTGTTGAACAAAGATCTCCCCCAAGGACTTACATAACGATCCTACCCGCATACAGGTACTTCCCGCGACCTTCGCCAGATCGTCGGTCTACCTAGTGAGTTAGGGGCCTGCCCACACTGCGTCTTCCGGCCTGTGGTCTACCATTTGAGAACTATTCTGCCCCAATGGCCATCGGCTCTACGCTCTACCTAATAAGATTATTAAAAGTGAAATTTTGTGAGGATACTTGGTTAGGCGGATGTATGTGTCAGGTTCTCTTTCAGGCTTAAAACACTGAAAAGATTTAAATGAAACGAAAGATTATAGTTTGAGGCCCAAGGAAAAACTTACTGAACTATGACGCAAACCAAACTGAAATAATAAAATTGTCAGTCACGAGTACTTATTACTGATTTTTTATAGTTTTCATTTGCGTTTGATCGTTAATTTGTTATCAGAAGAATAATTTCTACTTAAAAACATAGTAAAATTAGTTTATTACTTAAATATATAGCGNCCCTATCGAACAAAAAAAGAATTTTGAAAATCGGTCCACAATTGACGGAGAAATCGGTGAACATACATAGAAAAAAAAAAATACATACAGTCGAACATATAACCTCCTCCTTTTTTGAAGTCGGTTAAAAATGAAATACTAATGTCACCTATGTTCTTTTCAGCTTAATATGAAATTAATACCTAATAACTTTTTTTATTACCCGACTGCGTGACGCAAGGAATACTTATGTATTTTTCAGACTGCATCTTTTTTTTCCTTTTGCTAAACACTCGTACTTACTGTGTTATTATGACGTGAGGCTAAACCAAACTACGTTTTGATCTAGTGCCAAAATTCCAGCATTCAAGAGATCATTAAGGCCTTGATTAAAAACGTGGCTTTCACTCGGCGACCCGACACTTGAACTTTGCTAATGAACACGTCATTGGATGGGAGAAAATATGCATTAAGGCTCTTTCGTGTTAGCATTTTTCGGGCGTATCGTATGAACTACATACATACATTCTCTCCTACAATATTCGTTCGTACGTTTCAGCCCAATGACGTCCACTGTTGGACAAAGGCATCCCTCTAGGACGTGTTTACATATCGACCGGTCCTGCCCGCATACAGGTACTTCCCGCGACCTTCATCATATCGTCGGTCCTCACTCACAACTCACACTGCGTCTTCCGGCCCGTAGTCGATACTAGAGAACTTTTCTTTCCCAATGGCCATCAGCTCTATGCTCTACCTACTAAGAAAGAAAGAAAGAAATAGAATTTATTGAACACAGTAAGCACAAATATAAACAATAACAACACAAAACGAATATACATATAAAAAATAGTGGGCCACTGTGTCAATAGGCTCTCCCGCTCAACATTTATCCTGACATGCTCGTGAGGGCATGTCAAGAAACTGGTCTTCCGCGAGAGCCCTTGTTGTGGCTTCGCGCATCCCTTCAGAGAGACATCGACTCGAGTTCGATATCTCTTAAAAGGGCTGTACTAATATTATTAACGTGAAATTTTGTGAGGATATATGTGTCAGGTACTCTTTCAGGCTTAAACCACTGAACAGATTTAAATGAAACGAAAGATTATAGTTTGAGGCCCAAGGAAAAACTTACTGAACTATGACGCAAACCAAACTGAAATAATTGTCAGTCACGAGTACTTATTACTGATTTTTTATAGTTTTCATTTGCGTTTGATCGTTAATTTGTTATCAGACGAATAATTTCTACTTTAAAACATAGTAAAATTAGTTTATTACTTAAATATATAGCGTGGCAAACATTTTTGACACTTGATGACTTTCTATGTACATATATGGTAGTTATGTAATATTACTAAGAAAAATCTACAAGATTAAATTAAAAGACGTCCTCCATGTTACACTCTGGTGTAATCTGTGGTTCCGTACCCTACGTACTCCTTATTATATTGTTCGGGGGTTTGAACCCCCAATCTAAATTCGACCAGTCCGACACCTACACCACTGGGCCTTAGGCTAAAGTATAATTTATTGAAAATAGATCCATTATTTTAGATTTTCTTATATTACTTCATAACTGAACATAGTGTATGGCAAGTATCAAGATGAGTTAAATCAAACTATGAATCTGAATAAAAAATATGTTAACCATGCCATACAAATGCTCTAAAAATTATATTGGCATTGTCAATTTTCACTTCACTTGCATTCAAGTCTATTTTGGTGTTGACAAATGCAATTTCTAAATATATACTACGTATAACATTATTATGATAAGAAAGCAAGTGATTCAGTGATTCTATTCATACAAAATCAGTTCTAGTTTTGGGCTGACACTGTGTAGGTTTGTTGTCGACACGAAAAGAAGAAGAAGAAGTTCTAAAAATCTAAAATGTTGAAAACACGTCATGTATATGTGCAAATAACGTTAATGATTGTCATCATCATTCAGAGTGCAGCGACTAGTTTTCGAGATCGCCTGCCCGAAGACGGAAAACTGAACTTCACGCAACTAGCAAATAAATATGGCCACGAATGCGTAGAGCACGATGTGGTCACGGAAGATGGATATATCCTCAAATTGTTCAACATCGTGGGAAACAAATCCAGACCAATATTTCTCCAACACGGCTTCATGGACTCGTCTGACACCTTCATCATACGAGGCAACACCTCTTTGGCCATTGCATTAGCTGAAGAAGGCTACGACGTGTGGGCAGGTAACACCAGAGGCAACGAATACGCCCGAGGGCATCTCACCCTAAACCCCGAAACGGATAAAAAAGCTTTCTTTAACTACAGCCAGCATGAAATGGCCGTATACGACCTCCCCGCCATGATCGACTACGTTCTGCACGAGACAAGACAAACGCAGCTAAAGGCCATAGGACATTCTCAGGGCACTATGATCTTCTACATCCTAGCAGCAGAAAAACCAGAGTACAACGACAAAATTAAACTCTTCATATCCTTAGCTCCGATCTGCTACCTCCACCATACGAAGCCATTGACTTCAACGGCTATTAAACTTTGGCCCTTAGTAGAACCCTTCTTTAAAGAATTGGGTATTGTGGAAGCATTCTCAAGAAATTCAACAGCGGTGGCGCTGTTTGAATTTATTTGTACGACAAAGGATATAGGATATCCTTTATGTATCACTATCATGTTCTCATTTGCTGGTTTCGATCGGAAGGAACTAGAACGAAAATTTGTTCCAGTGATCTCTGGTCATTTTCCTAACACTGCGTCTACAAAGAATGGCGATCATTTGGTACAAATAGCGCTGAAGAAGCGGTTTTCTAAGTACGACTACGGCGAGGAAGGTAATGTGCTACTATATGGGACATCTGAGCCGCCGAACTACGATTTGAAGAACGTTCGGATGCCGGTGGCGCTCATATCGGCGAGGAACGACAAGCTTTCGGCTTTGAAAGACGTGGCGATCCTGCGAGACGCGCTGCCGAACGTGGTATATGATCACGTGATGGAAAGAAGGAAGTATAACCATATAGACTACGTTTGGGGAAAGAATGCCCCGCAGCAATTATATCCGATGGTTTTTAAATTATTAAACACGACAAGCTATCACCGAATAAGCAAGCTTTTTTAATTAAGTGTGTGCTGAGTATTAAGTAAATGGTAGCCTACAGTCAACGTCAAATAATTCATGACATCCAAAGTTGCCAATAAGTTTGCAACACGTCTTTGTTACAATGAGGGCTATAGTTTTTATACTTAACAGTTGGCACCCCTGGCGATTGACAGGACCTTACCCTACAGTGACGCCATCTTGATGAGTGCAAATACGATAGTCCTCCTACCACTTTAGCGCTCACAAGTTGGCGCCACTGTCTTCGCTACTAGTAAGTGACAGGACCTTACTCTACAGTGGCGCTAACTGGTGAGCGCTAAAACGATAGCCCTCATTGGAATAGATTGTGTTATCAACATTTTGGCCACTTTGGGTGTCACGAACTATTTCACGCTGACTGTACGTACCTACAAATTTTTTTTTGTAAGTTATATTGTGATGTCTACCTGTCAAGGCAGTTCAAGTTCAAAATTAATTTTGTATCGATATGGTTGAAATAAATTGACACACATTGCTTACCTACATACCTAGTTTACATAACGTGCAAATAAAGTAAGTTTTTATGAGAGTATTGACTGCAATTTGATGGTTTCTGTGTATATTAAAAAGTAACACGTTATTCTTTACTAGGTACCTTTCTTATTAACTACACCTTCAGTTACAGCTATCAGTAACTAAAGAGCCAACTGAAAAAATGTTTCTTGGAGGCGACTAAACAAAAGCTAGGTAATAGTATAAATATTTCAAAATATGAGCTAATTTTCGTCCTATAAACATTAATACAAAATATCAATGGATACGACTTGTCACTTCTGAAGGTAAAAGATGGTAAAAGCCAGAAATCTTTGATAACACAGTCAGGTTTTTGTCTCTATAGCCGTAGTAGTAAAATATGACTTTAAAATATATATACGATGGAAACATCGTTACGTCTTCTGTAGACTGCATCCCACTTATCATCAGGTGCGATTGTGGTCAAATACCTGCCTTGTTATGCAAAAAAAAAAAAAAAAAAAGNGAATTAAAAATCGGACTTTAGTCCATGACATCATCGACAAAGGTGTCGATAAGTTTGCAACGCGTCTTTGTTACAATTTTGGAATAAGGTTGTGTTATCAACTTTTTGGCCACTTTGGGTGTCACGAACTATTTCACGCTGACTGTACGTACCTACAAAATTTTTTTTGTAAGTTATATTGTGATCACTAACGGCGTAAGGGGGGGGCGGTGGGGGCGGTCCGCCCCGGGTGCCAAGCCTCAGGGGGTGACACAAGTCGCGCAGATTAGTACTGATTAGCGCATCTGCATGACAAGTCTGCGGTCTATGTCATAATACGGGGGGGGGAAGGAGTGCGATTGTCTTTCAATCTTCGAATCAAAGGAGGTGCCTTAGGACTTATGACGAGGGGGATGACCGCCCCGGGTGCCAACCCATGCTACGCCGCCACTGATTGTGATGTCTACCTGTCAAGGCAGTTCAAGTTCAAAACGTTTGTTAGTCGTATACCTCGAAATCAAAAAATCCTTGTAAGTAGCTTTTCACCTATTCGCATTTCACCGTGATAGCGTTTTTTGTTGTAGCGTGTAATATCGGTAGTATTTTTGTTACTAGCAAATTTTTTTAACAGATTTTTACAACAGTAGCAAATTTTGATGTAGCATGTATTTCAATAGCCTATTTACAGTGAAGACAAACAGGAAAGTAAATCTACTATGAATTTTTTAGACAATTGTAATTAGCGATCAAAAATTATACTACAAGAATAAAAATCTATTCAGAAATTTTGATATCGCGGCGAAATGCGAATAGGTGAAAAGCTACAAGGATTTTTTGATTTCGAGGTATACGACTAACAAACGGTTCAAAATTAATTTTGTATCGATATGGTTGAAATAAATTGACACGCATTGCTTACCTACATACCTAGTTTACATAACGTGCAAATAAAGTAAGTTTTTATGAGAGTATTGACTGCAATTTAATGGTTTCTGTGTATATTAAAAAGTAACACGTTCTTCATCACTAGGTACCTACCTTTCTTATTACGTAACACCTGCAGTTACATTTATCAATCAAACTTAAAAATTAAAAATTATTTCTAGGAGGCAACTAAAAAAAGCTAGGTTATAGGTACATGATATTCCAAAATATGAGCTAATTTTTGGGCTATAAACATTTATACAAAACATCAATGGATATGACTTTTCACTTCTGAAAATAAAAGATAGTAAAAGCCAGAAATCTTCGATAACACAGTCGGGTTTTTATCTCTATAACCGTAGTAGTATTTATTTATTTATTTATTTATTTATTTATTTAGAAACTCAACAGCTGTTTTACAATATTCATGTTAGTTTGATGAGCATTAAATCTAAGCCAATTAAAGAGTTTCCTAGCTGTTTAAATTAGTTCGTACATTATTACATTTTATCAGGTAATGAGTACCAATAAGCGCTGCATCCTCAACCATGCCTAAAAATAATAATCATGATTGAACATGCAGCGTAGTAAAATATTACTTTAAAATATATTTTCCATCGTTACGTCTTCTGTAAGAGCAAGAATTTGAATTTGCAGAGAATGTGATTTAACTAGGCACCGCCCGCGGTTTCTCCCCACCTCGCCCGGCTGGTATAAGGCTTGGCGAACGCAAACGACTATGTTGCAAGACTTAAACTACAAAATAAGCTGTTTGCAATCATTAATTTTAAACTTTCGCGTTTCGCGACGAAGCACATGATGTCGTGCCCTGCGTGCCCAAATAACTTCACGCAGGAAGATTTCATGAAGGCGTTAACACCTATTTAAATTAATTAAAATCTAATACAAGCTATTCAGAATTAAAATTGTGTCACAAAGTGAGCTGGTTGCCTGAAATAACTTCAAAGCACGTACACAAAATGACGTGCCTCGTAAATATGACAGCACTTTGTCGGTCTCTAAACGACAGTGTTGGCTTGTCGACCACAACCGTAGGCCTCGCGGCACATTCGGTCAATCTTCAATCAATCAATCAATGAAACAAACGAGCCTAGGTTAATTATGATAGCAATCGTAAACTTAGCGACAAATGTTTCAGCTTACCTTCCGGAGAGCAACACAATCGATGAAACGAGGTTATAATAATGATAGCAATCGCTAACTTAGCAAGTAATATTTCAGCTTACTTACCTTCTGGACAGCACGTCCATTTAGCGCATGAAAATATTGTCTAGGTGAGAGAGAGGTATTTGTTTCAGAACTGACATCTAGGATAATTATTAATTATGTACCTACATCGCTTTAATTTTCTTGAACACAGCTCAACAAATGTTACATTTTCACTTTTGTGAAATTACATTCATAAATTGAAAAATCTACTCACGTTTATCAGGAACCATTTTGAATTTTCCCCCACCAGCTGCTCCAAGATCTCCTGGGCTGCACACTACACCACACACACAATTTTTACAAACACTACACACGAACGCTCGAACGTTCAAATGTTCTTAGTCTATAGATAGGTATTAATTTAAGTTCATAATTTCAAAGTTCATTCATGTTAATAATTTACCTATCGTATTACTCGTACAATCAAGTCCAAACACGGTGCTAAACCAGGGCACAATCAATTGTTCTTTTCTGACAATGTGTGACATCGCGAAACAACTTAAATTATGCAATAGACAGTTTATTGCCGAAAAAGCAACTCACAAAAAAGTTCACTATTGTCTGTAAGTAGCAATATCAGATTTAAAATATTAATTACGTTTTTTATCACGACTAACCCGGAAAATGGAAACCAGAAACTAAAATCAACGACAAGAGGGTAGAAAATTTTAAATGAAAAAGAAAGTAACGTGACTAAGAAATAAAGGAACATACGGCCTAGCATAATTTAGATTATTCTTTTAATTCTGTTCTTAAAATAAAATTACATTTAATTTACATGTATGATAAAAAGGTTTATTTTTATCTCAAATTAATCGAAATAATAAAATTTCTTCAAATGTTTAATTTAATTAACACTTTTTGTTTGTACTTCAGCTGTCATATTATCTCTTAAATTTTTTATCTGTTATATTTGAAGTCTGCGCAAGAGTTTAAATTTAAAATCAATAAGTAGTCCAAAGCGTAAAATAAATTCAGCCTAATTAATTTCGAGCAAGCGCGTCATAATTTTGAATTTAGAATGCTAATGACAGAGAGTTCTGAACACGTCATTATCTAATTTTAAATTAATTTCAGTCAAAGGAATCAAACAGCATACAGCCTTATGCCTTCCAACAAAGTAAAATAATAAAATAAACTTCCACTAAATAAAATCCCAACTAATATTATAAATGCGAAAGTAACTCTGTCTGTCTGTCTGTCTGTCTGTCTGTCTGTCTGTCTGTCTGTCTGTCTGTCTGTCTGTCTGTCTGTCTGTCTGTCTGTCTGTCTGTCTGTCTGTCTGTCTGTCTGTCTGTCTGTTACGCTTTCCCGCTTAAACCTCGCAACCGATTTTGATGAAATTTGGCATAGAGATAGTTTGAGTCCCGGGAAAGAACATAGGATAGTTTTTATCCCGGTTTTTGAAACAGGGACGCGCGCGATAAAGTTTTTCTGTGACAGACAAAATTCCACGTGGGCGAAGCCGCGGGCGTAAAGCTAGTACAAAATAACGTTATAAAGCGGTACTCTATGGCCTATGGAAACATTGAAAAGAAATAAGCTGTATGAAATCTGATTGCGCTGCTTCTTCTCGGCACTGGCCTATATTACTGTCGCCGAAGCAGTGGGACTCTTTGGAAGCCTACTTGCATAAATAAACGATTTGATTTGATCCCTTTGCTAGTTTTTTCGGTTTGTAAGTCGGCCCACTAAAATATTTTGGCTACCTACACCATCAAACCTTTAAAAGACCATTGTTTTTCTAACCCTATTATTTTAGATTGACTACGTAGGTAATGTAAATACTTTAATTAATGTATGAGCCTACCTGTTTTGTTTGTATTACCTGTACTGTAGCTGTAGGTTAGGATAAGTTCTTAAACTA